GAGAGAGTCACAGACATTCGCTTCCCCATGAACCCTTCCTAGCTGGCATGGTTAGCAGTAACTGATTCCTCTTTTGAAAGCCACAGCTCCTATTAGACAGCTCTCTAACTTACAGCTACGGTTTTAATGGGTTCCCTCTCCAGACCTAGGGGTGGGCATGGCCTCCTGATGCTCAGGTCCCCAGATAGGCTTAGACCCTCTTTGTGTATCCATTAGGGGAATGTCATGTGTTTCCTGCCAAAAATGAGCAAATGGGACTTTTAAAAAGGTAAAGAAACCGTCAGCCTGTCAATGGGAATTTTCTATAGTTGTATTTTCCTCCTTTTATTTGTTCGGTTCAGATGATATATATATATATACTTTACGTCAGAACAGATCACAAAGCAGGCGTCTCTTTAAACTGCTTATCACAAGCTGGCCACCAGAATGAAATTCATTTCCCTAAGACAGAACAAATTGGGCCAATAGAAAATAGAACATTTGCCTCCCGCCATCTGCGCTCCCCACCCACCCCCGCCCCAGACACTTACATACTACACTGAGTGGATCTTCAGAGAACATAAGCCAACAAGAGAATCCCCTCCCCTAGGTGCACACACACAAACGTTCCAGTTATTTCTAACATCATGGACTCAAGAAAGAGGAAATGTGAGAGGCCAGCCCTGCTAGAAGGATGGGGTGAGGGAGGAGAGCGCCACTGAGGTACTGGGGTTTGAGCTGCTCTGTCATAGCCATCCTGACTGTCAGATCCATCCATCCAAGAGATGCTACCCTAGGTAGACCCCAGCCCCCGCAACTTCCTCTTACAGAGGAGTTTGGCAGGGGTCAGTGCTGTCTAGCCGCCATCCAGAGGGAGACATTGCCACCTCATCTGCCATCAGTCACACTTGTTGCAGAAAGAACACTGCCCAGCACACACAGAAGCCTTCCTTAGACCCATCTTTTGAGTTGTATACGCAGTAGAAGCACTCGTTGGTCACCCACTTACCAGCATTTTCATCAGCAGTAGCAAAACCAGTAGCTTAGCCAGAATTATGTAGAGCTATAAACTTTGCTTAACTTCTAAAGTACATTGATTGGTTTAAAAAAAAAAAAACTAAGCCTGTATGTAGCAATTGGAAATAGAAATATTTCCTCTAAAATTATTCCCAGTATTTTTAAAATAAATACTTGGTTGATGAAAAATACAGAATATATGTGATAATTAGAATAATTGAATACATTACATAATGTCCTTTGCCAAAAAAAGCTTACATGATTCGAATGGTTAGGAGGGAAATTAATCTGAGTAATTTTATTGTAATAGTTGTAATAATCATACTGGAATGAATCACCTTATTATATTGCAATTACGATTCAATAATACATATTTTTGGAGATCCAGTCTTTCATGAGGTGTTGGAATGGAATGTGGTAATCGGAGAGCAGTGATTTTGGCTAACACATTAGATATTCTGAGTGAAGCTAGCACATACAAGAATTCATTTTCTCTCCTGAATTATTAAATGTCCAGAGATGTATCTTGGGGCAGATAAATAAGTATATGAGTCTGGCAGAGGAAGAGAGTGTGTTTCTCCTCCTAGGAGGCATTTTGGAAAAGCCGAGTGTGGAGAGAGACTAGGAAAATGAATGGTGGGGCTGGGAGCATTCTGAAGGCAAAACACAGATCCTCGCAGCATCTGTTATGCAGGTCCTGGCTCACACGGGCGAGCTGGTTCCTTCGGAGGGACCGGGAGTAAAACAGACGCATCCACATATACAGATGAAGGAGAATACAGACAGCTGATACTTGGTGACCGTGTGCTGTATGACCAGGCAGTGCGCTAAATACTTCCCTAGAGGGAATTCACATTCATGCTCGTGACCACTCGTGCGGTGAATCATTGTTTTTATCCTCATGCTCCAGATGAGGAAACAGTCATTGAGGTTAGAAATCACATTGAAGATCATGCCAGTGGTAACTGTGGGGCCAGGAATTGCTCTCAGCCTGACTCCAGAGTCCGTTCCCTGGAACCTTGAAGTGAGATAGGATAACATCACGTTCGTCACGTCTTTAGATGTGTATATCCACATGGTCAAATATTTAGAGGCAACAAGGCCCTACGTCTGGATTGGTGCTAATGCAAAAGTACATATATCCACCTCTTTTATAAGCAAAAAATACTAATCTTGCCAGCTTTTGGTTTTAATTAAATGTCTTAAGTCCACATTATTAAAATGCATGAAAACTAAATTAAAACATGCAAGACATTTTGTGGATTTTATAGAATATCTCCATATACAGTTAGATGGATTCTTATCTTACCTCTGAGTGGTGATTTCTAAAGTTCTGTAGAAAAGCCTTAAAAAAAAAAAAAGAACTCAACTCAGTTTATAGACTTGAATACCTATGCTTTAATATATTAATATCCTGTGTCTTAAGGTCGTTCCTGACTTACCTTAAAAACTGACATTGTTAGATGGTGTCCACTTTAGAGATGGAGAAGGTTGTAGCCGCAAATGGTAAAGCCTAGAATATAATCCACACTTTGTTTCCTTTATTGAGCCACACCGATGTCTTCAGCATCATCACGGGGGAGAAATGAACATCCCGGTTCTTTAGTTTCTTACCATTAAGTGAGACTGGAGAGAGGAAATATAAGCACTTTGCTTCGTGGTCCGCTGGACCAGAATTTCTGGAGTTCTGAGTTCTAATCTACTCCACTCTGCAGTGTTTCCTTAGAGAGGGTTAAAACAGTGACTGTATTTCTCATCAAATATTTGGTAGGACTTAAAATTCGTAAGTCGTTAGATAAATTACAATTGCAAATTCTAAATGAGAAAACAAAAGACATCCAGAAGTCTTTGCCAGAGACTCGTGGACTCAGTTAACTAAGGATGGAGAAAGGGCTGTGGTACATGCTGGTGATATTGCTTATATGGGCTGGGAGCCCATCCTCATATGTGTAATAAAAGATCAACTCATGAACCTGAAATTATAAAATTAAATGTGGGAGATGTATAATATTAGATCATTCTCAAACAAAAGATAATCTACTGTTTACATCAAAAATAGTATGCCACATACACATTTTATCTATGTGGATGGGCATTTTGTTGGTATACTAGTACATGCAAACTTGGAAAATACATTTTATTGTTTTTATGATTTAGTTGGGATATGCTGCTGTTTAAAAAAAAACTCTTGGTGTTTTAATGCAATAAAAACATATCTTGTTGGTTCCAATTCCAGCACAGTTGTTCTTGGTTGGGTTGTTCCTCTGTGAGGTGACTCAAGGAGTTCTTTTTCTGGCTCCTCCATCTATGACATACGGCTTCAAGGTCACTCCGGCATTATACAGCCAGCATACTGTAGGCGGAATGAAAGTGGGCAGAGAGACGTGTGTGCACATGCGCGCGCACACACACACACACTCTTAACTGCCTTGGTTTGGAAGTGGCCCTCACCTTCTGCTCTCATCCCATTGGTCAGAATTAGTCACATGACCTAGTCTTAAGGAAGCTGGGAAACGTAGTTTGGTTCTGTGCTCAGGAAGAGGGAACACATTTGGTCCTCATTTAGTCGGTCTCCCTGACAAGATTGGTTCAAAAATTCTACCAGTAAAGATAAAAATAATTCTATTCATTGCATTCCACAAGGTGAAGTGATTAAACTAAAATATATATACATACCCTTGTTCCTTTGCGTAGCGAAGCGAAATACAAAGAATCAACAGTACATAAGCTACTAATTTCAGGACTTGCCTTTATAAACTACAGGCACGTGTCTCTGAATTGATAGGAAAGAAATATTGGATCTCAGAAAATATTGTATCTATCATCGTGGAATGCTGGCAGCCTAATCTATACCTGAAAGTTGTCGAAATATTTGGACCAGAGAACAGATCAGTCATCTCTGTTTTGTGAGAGTGTGTGTAAATGTTTCACCTGGGATTCAGTTGCATTAGTATTTCATAAGCATAGATATAAATTTGGCTAAAGTGCTCAATGACAACACAGCAAAAGTCCTGGCAAAGTCACTGTATTTTCAGACTAAAGATTAAGTGTGAAAAAATTTTTCTAAGAACAAAATTACCTTAAGTAAATGAAATGTTTAAAAAGTAGCTAAAAAATAAAACTGAGAGTTTGTAACAGATGGTTATAAAAGGCCTCCGTCCCATGGAAAATATTTGCCACTCTTTCTTCCACCGGACTTGGGTTCTGATGTAAACTGAAGCCTCTTGTGACTAACCATATATGTTTTGTGAATTGGAGAGTGGGTTCCAAAAAAACTGTGGGATTTACTATGCTCTTTTGGATTATGAATCTGAAGGAAAGTTGCCGCCTAGAAATGTGAGCTGTGTGTAATTACTCCCACCTGCTGGGTAAAATCTTTACTACATGGGCATTGAACTTCAGTCCCACCGTGAGGGGAGGAAGAATGCAACCTGACCCAACCACATTGCAGGGTTTGTCTATGTGATCCTTTTCTTCCCTCGGTGGCTCTTGGCTTGAGGGTCACTTCCAACTTCCAACTGTAGCATAACTTAGACTGGAAACTGCAAGGCAATGCTTATCCTCTGAACAGAAAGATTGATTTCTCCCCTGAAAGGAAAGCAAATGGAAGGAGATGGAATGACCAGCGGCTCCGCCATATTTATCCAACGCGTGGTTAAGCTCTAAGGAAAGAGAGACAGGGAAAGGGACCCTTCCTGCAGAAACAGTCCTAATGTCTGGTTTTCCAGCCACTGGTCCAAAACGGCAGGAGCTTGTCCTTGGTCACCGAACAGCCTGCATGCGCTCTCCCTAAGACCTTCTTGTTGTATGTAAAAGTACTGACTTCAGAAACAGGTGAGTTTTCAACTCTCGAAGGCACACTGTTTGGTAGAGGATGGTGGAAACTCAGGAGAATGTATTACAGTCTTTGATGAGCTACCTTACTGTATTAATAGCTCCTTTTATCCTTCGGGGAGGTGAAAGAATTTGGGGGGACAGCTTAGAAGCAAACATGGTTTGGGTTTCATTTTCTTTTGCTTTGCTTACCACCCCTGCCCCCCCACCCCCACCGCACTGTAGTTTAGGAGGGAGAGTTCCAGAAATGTCATCTTACTCTCTTGTCCCCGAGAACGGGTCACAGTCCGAAGTGTATAACTTACTCCTTCTTAACTAATCCCCTCAGCCCTGGAAGAAAACAGACGTAGCAGAGGAATGCAACTCATGCCGGGGTTCTCAGCCTTGAGGTTCGCTGCTGTGTGACTGACAAAGCTGAAGGGCTTCCTTTTACGCTAAGAAGTCTTTGGTTATATTGCAGGCTTGGTGTCTTGGTTTTCTGTCCTTCAGCAACTAAAGAGAAATCAGGGGCAACACAGAGTTCATGAACCGCTGGATCTGTAACTGGCAGTGACATTTGGGGGGCGGGGTGCATTTGTTGAGGAGGGGCACACACATATTCAATTTCTTGTTTTTCTTCCTGTGTTCATTCTCTCGCTTTGCTCCACGTCTACCTTCTAATCCCGCTTCCCTCTCTATGTTCTCCTGACTTCATGTCTTCCTCTCCCTGGTTCCCCTCTTCTGCATCCTATTTTCTTTACTCTTTTAATCTCACCTGTAATCATGGCATCATCTGTAAGCACCATGGAAAATGCTAGTTTCATTGTCTCTATTAAAAAAGAAAAAAACTCAACCAAGGGAGAGGCTGAATACATCCATTTTTGAGTTTAGAGGGCTTCCTGCCTAGAAAATTATCTTCTGAACCTTCTTGGATCTTGCTGTCTTCAGGAAGCACAGCAGCCAATAAGCTGCTCCCCCGACAGGAGCTGGAATATCTGGGGCTTTGGCTGCGAGCTGTTCCAGCCAATGAAAGCAGACACCCTGGGCTAGTGTTTCCCAGATAGTTAGATTTTTATGGGACAGTAAAATCTACAAAGAAAAAAAAAAATGAAGAGACTGAGATAGAATCCCTTTTATTTAAATTTTAACAAGTAAAACTCTTTTTTAAAACTCCATTGTTACCACTATTTTATAAAAGAGGCATTTTAGGAAAGATAATCTCAACATAAATTGAATACATTTAGCCTGTGGAAAACCCACCTCCTTGCCTTTATTTTCTCATTTTATCAAACACTGGATATGGATATCAACCAGCATTGATACAATGTTCGCTCCTTAGGTCCAATAAAGTTGTCCCTTTCTCCCATAGCAATGGCTTTGCCTTTGGGCTGACGGCTCTGCCTCTGAGGGGTTCTTACATCCTATTGCCTTTATATTGTGCCTCTCTATTTCATTCTTTGGGTTGCAATGTCCCAAAGGGGCTAGTGGTAAATTCTTAGTCCCTATGTATAAATAGAGGTACTAAGAAATTTGAAAAAAAAATGAATTTGATGTACACAAAAAGGCTACTAAAGGAGTCAGCTTTATTCCTACAATTTTGGGGGAGGGTGGAGAGGTCTGTGCGAGCCAGTGTGGCAGGAATGGCAGGCAGGGGTAGATAGTGAGAGAGAAGGGTGTGGGGGGAGCAGGGTGTCTCAAAACATAAAGATGTGGCCCTATTCTTGAGTAGACTGCAGTCTAAAGAGACAGATACATGTACCCAATTCATAACACAAGGCAGAAGTTAGGAAATGCGGAATAGAGAAATAAGAAAGGTCCCACTGGAGGGCAGAGTAAGAAGTAATCATTTCCCTGGGAGAATCAAGGCAGAGATCGCAGAAGTAGCAATATGTGTAATTATGTCATTGTATGATGACTTGCTAATTTCTCCCCTGCACAGCTACAGTGTGTCTTCTGTGAGGGCACCGTCCCCATCAGATGCGAGATCCTCTATATCCCAGCCCTTAGCATAGTGCCAGGTACCTAGTACATGGCCCAGAATAGTTCCCGAGTGAGTAAATGACTGCCTACAATGGTAGATGCTGTGAAAGATACCAAGAAATTGAAGTTTCATTCATTGCCTTTAAAGCATCTGCAAGGAGATCGGTTTTTAAATGTGGCAGATGTGTTCAGTCAGCTCACAGCCTGTGTACGAGATCGCAGATGGTCATGGTAACATGCTTATTTCATTCTGAAATGGAATCATTTCACCCCCAACTCAGCTTCTCCCTAGGCATGGGTTTTGATGCCATATTTATCAAGACATCTACTTGGAAGTGGACGTCATACTGTGAAGAACTATTGTAGACAAATGTTAGAGTCACTTGCCAAGTAATGACTTATGCTGGGCAGTTGCTTAAAAGCTGATTTTATTCATTTTATCTCTGATATTCATGTACTGCATGGGGAACAGGGGGAAGGGGAGAGGGCGGTGATCTTTTTTTTTTTTTCTTTCTTTCTTCCTTTGAGCTAGTAATTATTTGCAGAGATTCATTTGCAAAGTGCTCAGCTCACACTTGGGATCAGAATCCTGGCTTAGGCTTAGGTGGTGGCCGTGGTGATATTTATACATCTTCAGATGGTGGTTTGCCAGTTGAAATGCAGACATGTGCAGAAATGGCCTCATTGTCATCTCTTGTTTTTGTAGTATTATCCTTGGCTCGACAGATTTATTCCACCCCCCCCCCTCTTCTCCTGTCAACACTGTTTCAGCAGTAAGTTGTGTTATCCGGTGACATCAGAGGAAGCGCAGTTACATGTCAGCTTGGCAGGAATTGTCCACTTACAGCAAATTTGTGACAAGTTGCATTTTTCTACCATTTTCACCTTGAGTGATGAAGTAGCCACGGTTTGGAGACACACCATGGGGCCTCCCTTGATGGTAACAGTCTAATTGAGCTGCTGTTGCTTCAGTACTAGAGAGGAAGGAGCCACTGATCTTTGAGTAATCCTTCCTATAAACAGTGGGGACGTGTTCCCAGAGTTGATCTTCTGTATCTATAGGTAACGGAGGCTTAACTGGCTTAAAAGTTATAGCCAGTTTCAGACCCATTAAGTTTAATGGTTTATATAATGTTAGGCTGCAACTAATGAAATGACCAAAAGAACAATTTATGAACTTTTTATGGAAGAATTCCTCTACCATTCAAAATGGAGATTAAACTATGGCTGGCTTCACTGCAAGGCAAAAGTTCCCTTTTTTATTTCCCAGTTAGGTTTATATGCTGCCTGTAGGGTAGGCTGTGAGCTGTGTCTCAGGAGAAAGGTTGAAGCTTCCAAGCTGATGAGTTTGAATTTTGAGGGTTTTCTAATATGATTACTACTAGTCGTACTAGTTATTTTGAGCTCATAAATTAATTTAGATGACAAATTAATGGAAGTCAAAGATCCAACTACGAAAAGCCAAAACTATGTACCTTAAAATGACAGCCTCTGCCCCCATCCCTTGATGACATGGAAAATGGAAAATTCTGGTTAAGATGCCATGTCATACTATATAAACTAGAATGTAAGTGCCATGAGATTAAGAAGTGTTTCTGTTTTGTTCACTGCTGTATCCGTGGGGTCTAGAAAGATGCCTAGCATATAACAGGTACTCAACAAATATTGAGCATAAGTGGCTGAAGAATATGGAACCCATCTTGGGTGAGGTAGCTTTGTTTCATTTCTGAGGGGGTGAAAGTTCTTTCTTTCAGAAAAAGAGTCGAGGGAAAAAAATGATCACTACAAAAGAATTCAGTGCTGGTTGATATTCTTCCCAGATCCATCCTTCTTCACGAAGATCTTTTCCTGAGAGCAAACCACAGGGATTTCTGGCTGTCACCATCAATGATAGGTCTGGGGTATGATAAAATGTAGAAAATGGCTAAGTAGAAAAGTGTACATGCTTTATAAAATAGAATTTTAAATAATAGCTATCAGCAGCAGAACTTTGTAGGAAGCACATGCTGGGAAAATATAAACCCCACCCTGCTGATGGCATCTGCTACAAATTGAGGAATGAATGAATTGGACAGCCCAACAGAATGTGTCTTCAACAGCCCTTAAGATCAAACCACCAGCGGTAACCATGGATCTTTGGGACCTTTACTTCCTCCTTTTTGTAACAGCTAAAATCAGTAGGGGAATGAGGAGGAAATGGCTTTATTATCTGTGAGCAGCATGTCCCTCCCTCTGGATATCCATCTCTCCAAACATGCATTTTAATATTCCCTGGGAGTTCTCTTTATCTTATAATCCCATTTAAAGAAAAACATACCCCTCCTTTCCCACATCTCCCAGTGTTACATGGATAATTTCTCATCATTCTGACACATTTAATAATCCGACATGCAACTCAGCTGAGAGAACAATCATGGCCAGTGATGTGCTGGCATCACGGAGGGTAAAGGAAAATGGAAAGAACAATAATCGTGGAAGAAGCAGATCCCAAATGGAAAAATTGATCCCAGTGATCAGCAAATGCTCAAGAAATTCAATTCAACAAAATTTTATTGGTCGCCTACTACATGTCGGGCTCTGGGCTATGTCACTGAGCAACACAGTTCTCTCTGCTCGCTGGCACCTATGTTCTGACATCTGGTATGGGTGTTCTGAACAACATCGCAAGTCATGCTGAGCTGGAAGCCCTGCCAGAGGGTTTCCTTTAGATTAAATTAACACCATCCTTGTAGATATCAAGAGCTGGAATAAGCAAGGAAGTAAGGGTCCTGTTGCCTACGTCCCAGTTGCCTATTGCTGGTTGAATTTCGCCTTCTGCTATGAAAGCCAAGAGCCCAGTGTTTGCATCCTGAGGAGCTTTCTATAAAAAAAAAAAAAAGCACTTTGACAATTAACCAGGGCATCAGATTCTAGGAAAATGAAATGTCTTAAAACATGAAGTCTATGAAGAGACAATTATAAAACCGAAGAGTTCTTTTTGGAGGAGTTGGAAAGTAGCCAGCTTACCTACCACTTCCCTTCTTTGATACGTTGGCTCAAATGTTACCTTTCCAGCAAGGCCAGCCACTCCCTGACTCCTGGTCCCATCTCCCCACCGCAGCCTCTTCTTATCTCTTTGTTGGCATGTACCATCTGTCACACTATGAATGTCCTTATTTATTTGCTGATTGTCTGTCTCTTCCGTCTGGAACATAAGCTCTCTGAGGACAGGGACTTTTCCATAGTTGCCCCCAGGTGGGTGTTAGGAGACTCCTATCTAAGGATCAAAGCATCTCTTTTTCTGGATCTGTGATCCTTTCCATTTTCCTGCCATTGTCCCTGTCACCGTGTGGCTTGAAGTTTCCAGTGGCCAGTGCTGAGGTCATTGTCACAGATGAATTCAGGCTTCTAAAATGGGTAAATCCGATGTTAGGATAGATTAATACATCACATATCCATTTATAAGAGAGCATCTCAAGCTGATATCTGAAACTTGATAGACTCTATCTTCGTCACAAGACCAAGTAGCACGCAACTGTTTTAAGACAAGCTGCTTTCTTTGTCTATGGTTGTGGCTGGGTGGGCTTCTCCAGGTACAACGTCACAGTACCATTGGTTTTCATGAAACTGACTCTAATTCTGCTTCCTATAACCATCAGTGAAGGAATTTTGAAAGTTTGTGGTGATGAAACATGTAGGCATTTGAGATTTGTGAGAGTGAACACATAATTTGAGAGTGGTGCCCAAATGTCTAAAAGAAAATAAATTCTCATCTTAGTAACAATTGTTAGGAATTATCTAGAGCCAAGAATTCTAGGGTTGAGTTTCTGGAAATGATGGTTTGGTGATGAACTGCTTGATATCAAACTAGTGAAAATTAAGTGTATGAGGTTGAGAGTGGTGGAAATTGGAGGATAATTTATAGTCAGTGAATAATGTTAGGGGCTGGAACTTAGTGGAAACTTAGTAATTGATTACCCCTTTTAATTCTAACTAAAGTATAACTTTCTGGTCCAAAGATGGAAGTCAGAACAAGTTGTTTTTCCTCTACGTAGGAGGTCACACAGAAAACACAAACACGTGTTTGAATTATGTCCCCCCAAAAAGATTATGTTGCAGTCCTAACTCCCAGTATCACCGAATGTGACTTTATTTGCAAATAGTCATTGTGTGGGAATGAGTTAAGATGGGGTCATACTGGAGTAGGGGGGTCCTTAATCCAGGATGACTGGTATTCTATGCAAAGAGAGGTGACGATGTGGATACACAGACACACAAGAAGATTGCCTTGTGAAGAAAGAGGCAGAGATTAGAGTGATTCATCAACAAGCCAAGGAACGCCTAGGGCTACCGAAAGCTGGAAGAGGCAGGCGGGGATTGTCCCTGGAGGCTGTGAAGGCAGCATGGCCCCACCAACACTTTGATTTCACACTTCCGGCCGCCAGAACTATTAGACAATGCATTTCTGTTGATTGAAGCCACCAGATTTGTGATCCTTTGTTAATGGCAGCACCATGAAATTCATACACCTTCCTAGACCCAGGTGGAAAAGGGAAGACCCCAAGTCAAAAAGTAAAGGCTTCTCACCACTTGAGGTAAGATGTGTATGCTGGGGCAGAGAAGAGAGTTAGCATTTTCTGGAAGCCTGTAGGGTCCCCCATCTTGCCTCATGTGGGAAGAAATTGCCCGAGTGTCTCAGCAGGTGAAAACAGCAGCAACCAAGACCAGGTGTCTGTGCTGTTTCTCGCCTCTGGCCCCCAGATGGAGAGTCACCAGGCTGTCTTTATTTCTGACGCTTTGGGGATGAGTCCTGGCTCTTGAGAAGCTGGTAAAACTGACCCCCAAGTTACTTTAAAATGCGTGGATTAAAACCAAGCACTCTCCTATTTTTCAAACTTGCCCCTGATGCCTAAAAATCAGCCTCGTGCCTTTCATCAGGTTACATCAGCTAAGTTTATATTTGATATCTATAGATTTTAGTTAAAAATTTAGGAATGGCGTGATGGCCAAACAAAGAACGTTTCATTAGGTGGAGATGATTTGAGTTATCCAGCCCCCCAAAATGATTGTCCGAGAGACACTTACCAATCCACTTGTGGCTTCTAGGGGATATTTGTTTTTATGATTCCCACGGATCCTCCTCTGTCTTCTTCTCCATGGTAACCAGAGCAGTCTGGGAAATGTTTACCTGTCTCCTGTGTCTTATATGCCTCACACTTACCCCTACACCATCTCTTCCAGTATTACTTACTCTTGTCAATCAGTGGATTTTCTTAACTTCTTGTGTGCCTACCTTGTTGGGGGCTGATGGAAGGAAGGAGAAGATGAGTGGATTTTTGTGTGTATAGAGGTTATCCAAAATCTTTGTCACTTGCTTTCTGCATTTTAGGGAGGAAAATATTTAACAAAACACTTCATAAAGCAAATTAAAAAAAAATCAATTCTTTAGTCAAAAAGGACTTTGTTGTGTCAGGTAACTGCCATAGAATGTTCAGCCTGCACTACTCATTTAATCCAGAGCGTCAATTTACATTTAGTGATTATGCAGATAGCAAAATTGTGACATTTAATTTGACATTTTTAAAGAAACACAGATGTAGCAATATTGCCTGGAAAGCATTATTACTCTGTCAATATTATTTATTTTAAAGAGCAAACCTCATTACAAGCCTGTCTTGTTCATCTACCTGGGAAGGAGTAGTGAGAGAGAAAATTAAAAGACAGAGTCGGAGGTCATGTTGAAGAGGTTAAGGAATTCCTACTTCATTCTGAAGGCCATGGAGGGCTTAACAGCGGAGTAGTGATGAAGAAAGATCCCTGTGGCTTGTGGCTTTTGTGTGAGAATAGGGTGACCTGGACCAGGCCAGCGTCGGGGATGCCATGCAGGGGGCTGCTGCAATACCCCAGGTGAGAGCTAGGTGGCAGTGCGACTGGCAGCAGAGATAAATATGTAAGTTACAGGAAGAGTAGCTAGAACTTGGTGATTATGAACTTTGGATGTGGAGAAGAGGGAGGGGGCAGGGTTGGCTTACACATGAAACGTACGGAGCTTCTTTCTATCCGAGAAAAAGAAAATCACTGTTCTAGAACATGACAGAAATTGCTAGACATAAGGAAACCAACAAGAGCTCAGGGTCAGTGCCTTATGGAGGAACTGTATGCCCCTCTGATGTTTCAAGCAGAGGTATACATTTCCTTTCTGAAGACTCACTTCATAACTAAGTTCTGATTTCAGACCCATTAGTCTGGAAGGTGGTGTCATCCACAGCCTCCCACTCAGTGTGGCCAAGGTCTCAAGGTCATAAAGAGAGGGAAGCACTCACATCCAGTGGAATTGGGAAGCAGTGCCAAGAGGGGTGTTCCTGATGCCAAGATGGAAAGAGAAGGCACCTTAGCTTCCTGACAACAACTCGTCCATTGCGTTGATCAACATATTTCAGTCTGAGAGCATCTGCCCCTAGGGAAACATGACAAGGCACACGTCTCCCAGGCAGTCTCCCTATATTTCCACCATTGAAAAGTTTTCTTATGTGTCTATTGAGAAAAGTGAGAGAGTTTCTTGGGCAGTAACAGCCACTACTAATTATTTACCTGGTGAAAGACTTGGGAACTTTCACCAGGATATCCTTCTGGAAATTGACTGCACCCTACAGGACCTCCTCTTTTAACTTCCAGGCCAGCTATGAGCCCGTCCTGCCCACTTCTTCTCACTGGCTGCATGACTGTAGGAAAATTATTTAACCTTTATCTTTAAAAAGACCTAGAACTGTGATGGGAGCATAGGAGGTACTACGAAAGCAATGAAATAGCGTAATATTTATTATGAAGTGACTTGGCAAATTGTCTTGAAGCTTTAAGCTCCTTGCTTCCATTTTCTGGACACTCCTTACTGGCCCTCCATGTCTTGGGTGGACTTTTCAACTGTAAATGATGTTAGAACAGGCAGTTTGTTTATTATCAAATCCCAGCTGAACAGACTCCCTTTCATATACAGAAGGTGTATGGTGCCCATGAGCCAAGACTGTCTAGTCCGACCAATGACGTTGACAATGGACCTTGGTTTTCCTTCCCGTCAAGCACAAATGCCTTGTATCCCTTGGCTTTCCTCTATTCATAATCCTTCATGTTGTTACGGTATTTTAGGCCTTTGTCTTGGTATTTAATCCCAGCATCTTTGTAATTCATCATTTCTTTACATATATTTTTCAATACTACAGATGAAACTTTGAAGACCCACATGCAACTAGAGATGTGAACAAAGAAAATGACAGTTAATGTTATTGTGGTTTGTTGCTTGCATTTGAAATCGATGGAAATGCTAAGTTTGAGTTAGAGTTCAGAGAAAAGGAGTATGTGGAGATTTTCCTCCCATCCAAGTTCATGGTTCCGTATATTCTGTCCCAGGTCCCAGAGGGAGCGTCTCGATCCCAGGTTAAGAACTCCTCATAGTCCTTTGTGGTTTGAGACTCACCTTCTCTGTAAAGCGTCCTCTGAACTCACGAGACCCACTTCGCTAGCTTGTTGCTACACTATCTTGTTCATCCTCTATTATGCAGTATTTATTTATTATTATGACTACTGTGATCATTTTTTCCTATATTTCTCTTCTCTTTTAAAATATCTCTTTATAAGTAAGTATCTCTGCATAAAAGTATATAAAGATAGACTTTCATTTTCTTGGTATCCAGGACAGTGTCTGATATGTTGCAGGCAGTCAATAAATGTTTGTTTAACAAATGAGTTAAACCCTAAACAGCTTCTGGTAAGTCTTCCCGGGTCACATGTAATAGAAGGACCTGAATTTAATTTCTTCCCTTCTACCAGGGGCACAGCATCCAAGCGCTGAACTTTAATAAGAGGCGTGCTTTCAGCAGGGTCTTCTTGGCCTCCTCTCAGCCTTTCACTCGGCTCTGATAGACACCAGCTCTCTCACGAAGTCACAGCTATGGACTTATACCTGAGTCTCTGAAGTATTTTAATGCCTTATGGACATAAAAATGGAATAATAAATTCCATTGTTAGATAAAAGTACATTGCAATGATTACCAGCAAATAAGTAAATATTTCTGTTTAGAACTGAGAAACCAACCTGACAGTGGAATATGAGTTGTTTACAAGGCATTTATTCTGAGTAATGGGCTGGGCGATTATAAATAACCTTAACTCTTAGTAGAGAATGTGCTTACAGAAGTATTTATTCTAATTAGGCTAAATGTATTAAACTTACCACTCCAGGTTGCCTGATTCTGCTCTATATAAAGTCAGACCTCAAGAATCAGCTGAGGTTGGCTAACCTGAGATTTTAGCCATTAGTAGAAGGTCTCAGGTAAACAAACAAAATGACATGAGTAGTGATAGCACAGAGAATCAGAGAGAAAAACAAGGGGGAGTAGGCAGAGCTGGAGCCAAGGAAGAGAAGCCTTGATAACCTTGTACTTGACCTTCAGGAACTCTGATGTGGTCAGTCTGGAAACTCTCTGTCCCTCTGACTCCACCCTTCCCTTTCCCCTCCTACGTTGTCTTGGGGAGAACGGGTTATTTTCGAGGTGACTATAAACATTCTCCTTATGTAGAAGGGCATTGAGATAAAAGAATATCACTATTGGTGAAGCAAAAGCCATTCCTGCTTCACTACTTTAAATTTTTCAGAATTTTTTTTTCTTTTTAAAATTGATACTGTGTAAATGAGAGACGAAAATGACCGTGGAAAGCAGTGAGGTTGAAGTCGTAAGACCATGGAGTGTTTGGAAAATAATTATAATCGTCTTTTTTAAAAACACGGTTAGATTCCCAGTTTTAAGAAAAGGAAAAAAAAAATAGAAAAAGAACCCCATGAAGGTCTGTGGAGGCTGGAGACGAATATGTTTCCATCACCATCCATGAATAGCGGAGCTGTGATGATATTGTCATTATATCGTCACGTCCTTGCCTTGCAGAATGTGCGTTCTACCTTCAGAAGAATTCTTTGTTACAAACTCACGTCGAAATTTATAAATCACACAGGCCAAGCTTTTCAGACTAACCACACGTCGGACAGGACTTTCTCACACTGCCAAGGACTCGGGTCAAGTCTCTTTCTTCCTTCTTCCATCTCCCATCTTCCTCTTTTTTTTTGCTTCTAACCAGAGAATGTATTCCAATTTTTAATTTCTTTTCCTATTCAAGCCCTGAAGCTCTGCCCAAGGCAAAATGCTTCAGGGACTAGAAAGATGAAGCGGCAAAGTTAAATCGACAGTGACAGTCAGTGAATGCAGATAAATTTCAACAAGCAAAGGTTCAGCATTGTCTCTTGGGCCTCCCACCAACATTAACTTCACTCAATTTCCTGACTCAAGGTGCTCACAAAGCAAATGTCAAATAACTAATAAAGTGCCAGCCACTCCTAGCCTTTGGGTTAATGAGTTTGGTCTTCATCTCAATTGAGAGGTCTTGAATAGACTCACATTGGAAAAGGATGCTCCCACCCTAAAGGAAGTTGATTTCCCATCAACCAGGCAGAGATAAGGAAATACTCCCCCAGATCTCGTAAGTCAATTCTGATATCCTTTCCAGCTCTTTAACGTTTGGGTGGCATGTTGTGGGAAGATGGCCTGGGAACTGAGGCTCCTGATGCAGGAAATAACCTAACGCAGTCCATTTCTCCTCTCTGGTCATTCACAGTGATTTCCTTTAAACCTTCTGTTGTATTCGTTGTGTTCATTCAAGTCACAATTCTCTTAGACAAACAGGACATGTAGTTTAGCAGGTGGTGGGATCTTGAAAAAATACTTAGTAACTCTCTAACTGTATACTGTATTTATGTATATGGATGTATGTGTGTGTGTATGTACATATTGTGTATTATATGTATTTTTGCATTCTGTCTGTTTCAGTAACTTTTTGGAGTAGTCCAGAAAGAGCATAGCGACTTCCTATGACACGTGCTCTAAAAATTTATTTTGACCTTTTCTCATAACTCATTGAAACTAGTCAAATTATTCTATTTTCCTGAAAGTACATTTAGATGCAATCTTAGAACATAATACTTTGATGTTTTATTTTTGCTGAAGCCAAACAAAATCAAGGCCCATCATATATCCCTTTTCAAAAGCATTTTCACTTGCCATGAATTTCCTGTGAACTCCGCATTGTGTTGATAAGAGTTCCATTTAGCCTGTAACATTTCAGGGATTTTGATAAACATGATTTCTGACATGATAACATTTAAACTGGGATAGCTACTAATTTCTCAACGTATGTTAAAGTTTGTGGAAAAAGTAAGAAAAGCATCTGGTGGCTAAACAAATAAAGGTAAAGACATTTTCCTCAAAAGAAATGCCCTTGTTTTTTGCACGAATGGTTAGAGCTGTTACATTATGGAGTACCGTCTACAACACTTCTCGTTTTTATTCCTATTTGGAATAAAATGTAGAGACTTGAAAGTCCTTCCTAAAGAGTATCCATGTATTTAATTTTCAAAATGATAGTGAGACTTACTTGCACATTAAGGTAAGACACCAAGGAGGCGGGTTTCCAAGGATGCTTTCTTGGGAAATCTTGAGAACTGGATGCTATTTGACTTGAAGGCATCAAAGGAAGCAGTGGGCTGCAGAATTCCCAGAGGGACCCTTCTGCGTGATGATCTTCTATTATTACCTAGTAGATGGCATTCCAGAGACCCTGTGTGTGTAAATAAATAACTGAAATTCCCTAGAACGCTTGTCACTTTTCCTAAGCCTCTTTACTCTGAGGAAAAGGTGAAATCTCCTTCCACCTTTCTGAATTCTTGTTCTGCATCCCCATGAGCGTACGTGCATGTGCAGGCACGCGCGCACACACACACACACACACACCCCATCTGAGGCAATAGGCTGTGGAATAAAAACACAGCAAAGACAGCAACAAGGCATTGATTTCTGTAAGCAGGTAATAGGATGTATTGATGTTACTCTGTTACCTCTGAATTCCTTCTGCCTTTGGTGAGAGATTGGGGCATCTAATCACGCCAGAGCCATCTTCTGTCGAATATGATTAAATAAGTTGTTTTGTAAGCCACCGCCCCAAACTAGATTCCAGTGGCTGTTATGGGTCAACCTTGGAAGTAAGGTCAGAAGCGCATAACCGTTCGTAGATGGTCATTCAGAGTTACAGCACCGCCGAGTACAGCAAGAGTTCATCCTATGTTTATTGTCCACACGGGGGAGCTGAAGCCTCCATCGTCCAAACGCTCTGTCCACCCTCAGAGACGAGCGAGGGTAAAACTGTAAGTGTAATTCAGGTGGACTCTGGGTCTAATACTCATTTGACCTCTGTTCATCTTTCCCCACGAGTCACACTTTTTCACACATTGCCTTCTTGGCCTGCCCTTAACAATGACAGCTCGTGAGAACATTTAATGATTTAATGACCAAGACTGTTAGGGTCCTCTCGCTACAGTTCCTCCAGTGGTAAAATGAAAAATGCCTTCATAGATAGGCTGGGAAAATCGCTAAGCTTCGCTGTAAGCTGCTTTGACTTTCCGCTAGGAAGGACTCTGTGATCACAAGCCAGTTCTTTAGAGCGTGATCTCAGAATGCTCCCCTTCCCGCAGTGATTGTGCTGAGCTCAGTGCCTCCAGAAGTCACTCCACAGGAACCCAAAGAAAGTCCCTGACAGTATGGAGAACCAGCCTGGCTTTAACTCAAAGCGGTCAGGGAAGCCTCCGGCTACCACACTCAGTTCTGGTACCATCGGGTATGCAGACTTCACCTGAGAAATGGATTCTTCTGTTCTAAGACTGAAAAAATGAGATGATGTGCGTTGGTTAGCAGAGTCACACATTTTCACACGTTACAGTTGAGCTTTTTTTCAGCTGCCGATCATGCTACAGAGATGCAGACCCTCATCACTCAGAGTGTGGTCCCTCCTGGGAGCTGGTTAGAAATGCAGGATCTGAGGCCCCACCTAAGACCTAGTGAACAGGCTCCTTTGGAGAGTCTATATGTGCAGTCTAGTTTGAGAGTCAGTGCTGGAAACAACCTGAACTTGGTGTGATCATCTCAGCCTCGGTGGCTGGCTTTGCCAGCCTTTGCTGTACACCCAGCCACTCTGTCCTGTCCAGAGTCCCTCTGTTGAGCTCCACAGGCAGAGCCTTACCTACCACTGTGCCTGGTCTACACCACATGCTGGTCCAAGGCTGGTCCTCCTTCCGTGATGCTGTGCTGCCTTGAGTGACTATGTGTTCAAATTGTCACATCGTGCTCTTAATGTCTCTGTTGAGTCTTTGTGAATACCTCCCAGGGGTTAAAGGTGGGTGTGTTAGTGGACTGGTGTTTGCCTGCCCGCCAAGTGCTGTTTGTGATTTCCATGACACAGTCCTTTGGAGTCGGACAGCATGATGTGTAATATTGCCAGGGACCTCAGGAATGGGGGAGTCTTTTCTTATGC